TTTGCTGGGAACTTCGAATCAAAGGAGAGACATATCAAAATATAGCGTGGAAAAATCTAAATCAATATAAATGGAAGATGCCTCTAGAATAGGGATGTTAACGAGTCGAGTTGAGCCGAGCCGACATGCGAGCGGAAACTCAAGGCTCAGGCTTGGCTCGAGTTTTTTTAAGCCAGGCTTTTTTTGTCCAAGTCGAGCCGAGCAAAAGCTCGACAAAAAAATCAAAGCTCGATCCGAGCTTTCAGCTTGAGCTTTACCAAGTCGGCTTGATTTTTTTCTCCTCTTTCATATGCTGCCTATGCCTTCATAAAAGGCAGCAGCTTGCTACCTTTTAAAGGCAGCTGCTTCTCTTTTTATTTTTTATTTTTTATTTTTTTTTGGGCTGGCTTGCGAGCCACACAGTCTGGCTCGGCCCGAGTCTCGAGCCGAGCTGACTCGAGCTTTTTTACAGTCGAGCCACGGGGCGGCCTGAGTCAACGAACTAATTTTCCATCCCTACTCTAGAACTTATTTTTCTCGATCAAAAGATTAATATGCTAAGGTATGAATCACTCAATCACATGGGCCCGTCTGAATATGGAGAAAGCAGAGAGAGAAACTGACTCAATGCTTTAATTCTTGGATGGCAGAATAGGAAAATTGGTTGGAGAGACTTGTCCATTTCTATATTGCATTGACACTATAGTTTAGAGTATGCATTTCTATAGATAGAGAGTAAAGACAAGCTAATGTGCGAGAAAGGTGCGAAGCTAGAATAGTGAGCATCTTGGGACCCCCATATAATCTCTAGCATATGGGTGATGGCAAAGCTTCACTCTATGACGATTTTGGTTGGAAAAAAATAGTGGAGCTTTCGGAGTATATCAATCGACAGTATTAACTGAGGCTTTCAAGTTGTCGTAGAATTGGTTTGAATCATGCACAAATTTGGTCAATTTCAACTATAATATCCAATCAAACACCAACCAAATCAAAGGCTCGAGCTCACAACTCAATTAACTTCGGTTGCCTATTTTCTTGCACCCACAAAGAACACAAATCTAGTGGTTAATTGCATTCACAAAGGAGGACGAAGGTAGACGAAGCAAAGGTTAAACTCAAGCACAGAGAGAGTAAAAAGGTTGGCTGCCTCATGATTTCTTTCTTTGCAATTCACACATGGCTAGAATGGTGCAAAGAAAATCATATATAGTTTAGGTACTGGAACGACAAGTTGGGCCAAGATTTAAGTTAAATTGGCCAACAAACAAAGACCAAGACAAAAGCATGAAATGGCCAACACAAATGGGTCGTCCTCAAGTGAATTAGGCCATGACCAACCTTAATTAATTAAGTTGCTTCCAATGACCTGCGTTATTTTTGGATTGAGGCAATGATTATGTTGTTGATATATTTAATTTAACCTATTTTAACATCATCGCCTGAGATTTATTGGGTATCAAAACTCAAGAAATCTTCATCTTGATAATGAACCTATAACAACACGAAGTTTATACTTGCCTAATCAAGGTAATGAAACAAATTTGGAACCACTAACTTTATTTGTGTTTTGGACTCGAAATGCATACTATACCTGCTTCATATATTCATCAAGGACTAAGGTCAAGAAAATCCAAGTACAAATATCATAATAATCAATCAAGAGCACATAAAACGTGCGATAAAGATATAATATAGGAGCTTTTCAAACATGTTTAATAAGTAAAGAACATTAATACTAATACTAAATTAATCAAGTAAAATGGTCAACATATACGACCAATACACAAATGATCCCCAAAAAAAGATCTCACCACCATTTCGCTAAACTTAAACCTCCCTCATTTTCTACTGCTAGATAGAAAAATCACATTTTACTTTAAAAATTCTCAAAGCAAAATATGCAGTCATTTTGAACAAAGATCAATCAAATGCACAATTAGGTTACACAAAGTAGCCTTAAGTTCATAATATACAACGTGTAGTCATTTTGAACACAGTTCAATCAAAGTGCACAATTATTACACAAAGTAGCCTTAAGTTCATATTATACACCATTCTAGATTTTTAGGATTTTGTGATATTCGTGATCTCAATATCAAGGGAACGATCAAATGTGTAAAGTCCAGGTATGTTAACGAAATAGCCAATGCAACATAGAGGTATGTCAACAAAGCTAATTTCTCACACATTCCAAGTCTCACACATCGACTTAAATGACAATTAAATCAAAGAATCAATTATTAACTTTAACCATGTAACAAATTAGGGCAAGCAATTCCTAAATTCTAGGAACAAGCAATGGTTACCCCACAAGGTAACATATGATCACACATATGATGACCTGGTAGTACTAAAATTTAAAAGAGATAAAGCAATTTATCGAGCTAACCAAATTTGTAGGTCTGTAAACAAGGAGATATGCTAATTTACCACTTTAAAGCCACAACTATTCACACTAAAGTTTCCAACAACTATATTAATGAGAACATCAAAACTAGAGACCCGAACCAACCAAGGGCAAAATGGTCTAGAACTAAAATATTTCCCAGAACAGAAAACGAAAACCACTATAAGGTCTGCATGACTGCTACGAGAACATTGTCTTCAGACGTCATCCCCAGAAACTCAGCTACACGCCTACACGCAGGGGCGGACCCTGCCCGCACTGGACTTTTGGGCCAAATTTTATTTTTTTTTTAAATTTTTTTTTGGGAGTTTTCCATAGGATCTACCCTTCTTTTTCCATTACATACTTCTGATAAATAGTGGGGGTATAAATGACAGTGGTGTAGCTACTATAAAAGTCATCATGCATTGGCAATACCGTACCATCTGCAGATAAGAAAGTTCAATATTGCCAAAACTTTTCTGCAAGTTGGGGCTGATTGCTCATGATTTCATATCATTCTATGGTTTTAAGAACTTATGGTAAACTTTTTCATGGTGTCCTCTAGTTACAAGTCAGGTAATATTTCCAATCTTCCATGAGCTATTTCATAGTTAGTATTCCGGAAGCTACTTCGGCAAATTACTGTTGAAGTTACTTTCAGTCATGATGCAAAATAGGATAATAGTCATCTTTGATAATTGGTATAATTTACGTAAGTTGAGCAAGAGCCAATATGGATCAGTTTTTTATGTCATTCAGCAATATCTTAACATTATACCTCTTCAAAAAAAATTTCCTCTTCCAAAGATTTGCAAGGCTCAACACGCACATTACGTTATTGCTGATGCTTTTGCTATTTCTTTGAAACATGGAAAACTAATTTTCGTTCTTTTATATTAACCTTATTTGAATCTCATACAGGTTTATTTTGATAGCAAAGTGATGATAGCTGATGAATGTTGTGCTTTGGTTGGATCATCTAATATAAATGATAGTTGACTCTGAGGTTTGTGCTTTTGTTGTGCTTAGTATTACCGTGCTATTTTTTTTTATCATCATTAAATCTATGACCAAAACCACAACATTCGACGTCGAAAAAACTTTGTCCGCACTGAACTAAAATCCTAACTCTGCCCCTGCCTGCACGTGCCTTTTTCTTCTATATGTGTAGTTGTCATCTGCCATAGTATCCGAGGTCCACGTGTTGCCGCTGGTCTACCATATCTGCCTTGATGTACCGAGTCCGAATCTATCTTCAATTTCACCAACCGACCTCTGGATTGGTTGAAAATTGAACTTTGCAATAAGATCAATTTGAAAAATTCGACAGTTTTCTTACTTATCTGTACAGTCGATTTCTACTCCATTTTTTCACAAATTCAATACAAATTTTACACAACCACAGAACCATATGCTTTGATATTGTTTATTGTGGAATTGATTCGAATTTTGTACAAATCGGACTTAGTTTCAACTATAATATCCAATTAAAAACCAACCAAATCAAAGGCTTGGACCCATAATTCAGTTCACTTTGATTGTGTATTTTCTTGCAACCCACAAAGGACAAAAATCTGGAGTTTAATTGCAGACATCACATGATAAACTCAAGCACAATGAGAGAGTAAAAAGGTCAATCACAAGTTAATTGTTCTAATGGTCACTAAACTCAGGTCCATATTTTTGATTGATCATTGAACTTAGATTTATGTCTTCAATTACTCATCGAAGTTTAAAATATCGAATTTTGAAGATCAAATTTTGAAAAATGTTGTACATTACTCACTATAAACTCAACATTTTCAAAATTCAACATTTATGGTAGTGAGTAATTTACAACATTTTTCAAAGTTCAATGACCAAAACTCGACATTTTAAATTTTAGTCAGCAATCGAAGACATAAACATAAGTTCAATAATCAAAAATCGACATTTTAAATTTCAATGACCATTGGAACAATTAATTCGTCAACCACCTCACTATTTTTTTCTTTGCAATTTCACACACGACTGGAATGGTGCAAAGAAGACCATATATAGTTTAGGTATGGGAACCATAAGTTGGGCTAAGGATTCAGATAAATGGGCCAACAAACAAAGACCAAGACAAAAGTATGAAACCTCAAGTTGTTTTCAATATTTCAAATTGTTTTTAGGTCAAGTCAATCACTATGGTGTTGATATATCTAATCGAACTCATTTTAATATCATTCACCCGAAATTTATTGTGTATCAAAATCCAACACAAGCATCTCGATGAGCTTGCGAAAGGATGATGTTTTTGAGACGAATGATAACAAATTCAAAATTTCGTTAAAAAATGCATCTAAGAAAAT